CTGTGGGCACTGCTGTCAACGGGAGTTGAGGGCGTACTGTGGGCACTGCTGTCAACGGTAGTTGAGGGCGTACTGTGGGCACTGCTGTCAACGGTAGTTGAGGGCGTACTGTGGGCACTGCTGTCAACGGGAGTTGAGGGCGTACTGTGGGCACTGCTGTCAACGGTAGTTGAGGGCGTACTGTGGGCACTGCTGTCAACGGGAGTTGAGGGCGTACCGTGGGCACTGCTGTCAACGGGAGTCGAGGGCGCACTGTGGGCACTGCGGTCAGCGGGAGTCGAGGGCGTACCGTGGGCACTGCTGTCGCTGCTGCTGTCCATGTGTGCTTCCGTGCCAATCAGGTCCTGGCTCAAGAACAAGGTCCTGATCTCCTCGGCATTCAGCTGACGGTTGTAAAGAAGAACATTATTCACCGTCACGTGGCTTATGGTTGGCATATCACTCCCTTTATACCCGCCAACGTGGAAGTGGGAGATGTCAGGCGTCCTCCCGTCTGGCACAACGGTCTGCCCTGAACCCTCCAGAGGTTCTCCATCAATGTACACGGAGCCAATTTTATTCGCCATCGTAAGAACCACGTGGTACCTCTTACCCGTCTCCCACGATCCCGTCGGCGTCACCGGCGTTGATCCGTATATTGGCTGCCACTGGTGCTTCTTGTCGTACGAGAGCCCCAGGAGTTTTTTGCCACCAGAAGAGTCCAGGCTCGCACCCAGCAAAGGACTCGCGACGCTCGGAACCTCGTGAATCGTCACCGACGCCACCAGCGTGAACGCGTGGTTTGCAAAACGATACCGTTGATTCTGCCCCTGCTGGCTCACCGGCCAAAGCGCCCCTCCGCCAACCCCCGCAAACTTCAAACCGTTCGGAACCCTCTCCGCATTTGCCGTGCTTGCGTTGACGCAGCGGTACGCATCCTCCCATACGTTTTGGGAGGCATTGCCGGACAAAAACCCAACAAGACCAACCGTGGTGACAGCGGGACCACAACCACGCTCTGACGACGAAGCGGCTGGATCAGCAGGGGTGCAAATGCTGGACAGGTGGCTGTCCCAATTCTTCCAGGACTGCAGCACTGATTTAATGATCCGTAGCTCGCCAACCAGGCGTGCAAAAACAAGGCTGTACACCTCGTTAGTGTTGATCTCATGCAAACAGTACAGCTTATCATCCTTGTACAGGACGGAGCTGTAGGCGGCATTTTCATCATCAATGGATACTTGCCCAACGTTATAAATGCGCTGGTTATCCGTCAGCCAGAGGTTCAGTCGGTCGCGCAGCCACCTTCCCTTAAAATTCAGCGGGTGTGTGAAGAGCATCACACGCATTCCTTCGATGGTCACGGCAGTGAAGCTGCTCTGACTGCCGGGCTGGTCCGATTTTGGTGAGGGGCCCCACACACGCGAGAGCGTGCCGACAGCCTCCACCCACGTATTCCCCATGTCACTGGACTCGTACACCAGACGGCGTGCCCGGTCAACTCGGGTGTTTATGATGAGCTTCCCCTCCCACTCAAGGGCCACAGGTTCAGAGCAGCCAAAATCGCTCCTGCCCTTCCCAAACTTCCACGTCTTGCCCTCGTCTTCCGAGTAGAAGATCTTGGAAAAAACCTGCTTCCTTTTGTTCGTAACCTGCACAGGGTACACAAGATTCCCGTTGGACGCCACAATGGCAACACCCGCACCGCCAAGAAATTGATTTGTGTGCATTCCTTCCATTTCTGCCGGAAAAAACTTCTTCAGTGACACGGGGCTCCCCCATTTGATACTCGCAGTTGTCTTGCCGCCCGCAGTGGACTTCGTGACCTCACCAACGGCAAGCAGAATATCCCAGTCTCTCGCATCACCATGCGACGTCCAGTAGCTTCTCGAACTATTGTAGCTTCCAACCAGGACGTAAAGCTTGTTGCCCTTCACAATCACTGTGGGAACCACCACACGAGAAACTGACGATACACGGCTGTTCTTGATGGCAATTTGGGTCTCCCATGTCTCCCCGTCGTCCACGCTGTACTTCGCCACCGTATCAATGAGGGAGTTGTCATTAGATGTTTCGTAGCGAGCGTCCGCGATGGCAACCATCACCCCATCCACATTAACAAGGGCGGGGAGGCGGAACGAGTGGACAACCCGCTCGGTGACTTTGCCGTCCTTTTCAAATGGCACCTTCGAGCTTTGCCGCTTAAACAGCTCAACTCGGCTCGATCCGGGTGCCAGGGCGTGCGCGGGCTCGCTGGGGCAGAGCGCAAGAAGAAGCGACACGAAAAACATTAGCCAGAACATCCTACTGGCCCCAACGACTGTCCTCCCCATCGTAGTCGGTGCCTGCCTGTGTGTCCTTCGGGTGTTGTTTGTGGAACTTCTATTATGCCTAAAACAATGGTGTCAAGATCTTCTCTTTGCAGGGGGATTGCCGCGGAGAAAGTGGGAAGAGAAAGGGGAACACACAAGTCGCCGTGGGCTCAAAGCGCCGGGTACCGTCCGCGGGACAGCACGCAATTGTGGCAGTTCATCGTTGGTGGTGGCCACGCGCGGAACACTTCTTTCTTCTTCCAACGGTCTTTCATTCCGCGCCACGGCAGCGGCACGCGGGAATAGAAGGCAGGGAAGCAACGACAGGCCTGACGGACGCGATGGCCGCTGCTGTGGGAACTACGAGGCCGCCTCGCACAAGAACGCCACCGCCGCCACCAAAACAGCTCTCTCGGCATCCGCCGCGCCGCGCCACGGCGTCCAGCGTCGCGCTGGGCTCTCCGCAAGCCCCGCAACAGACTGAGAGCAATGTGCGGCACGCTGCGGCAGCGCCATGACCATCATCCCGACGCCCCTTCCTGCGCGGCTCGTCGCATTGCAGAAACCGCACCGTCAGCAGGTTGCTGCTGTCAATAAAACGGAGCCAAAGTAACGCCGGCGTGTCGCGGGACTTGCGGCAGGCGCATGAAACCCTCTCACCGCCGGCAGCTCACGCCAAACACCACACGGGCGATCACGTCATGATGCTGCCTCCGCCAAGCTGACGTTATAGCCGTCATCCGGCGACAGAAGCTTGCCCTGGTACACATGCCCTTGCCGTGTCTCGGCCTCGACTCGGAGAGACGGGGAAGGTCGCAATGACAATGAAGACAAAGCCTGTTAAGACAAATCGATTCGTTGGTCCTGGAGTGGCTGATTATCCCTCGGATCCACCACAGGCGTAAAAACCCCGCTTGTGGCGACACAAAGCCAGTCTCTCCTAGCGGCCCTCAACAAGGACCGGATCTGGCAGCGTCTCTTGACACTGATGCGTGCCGGCCGGTCCGTGCACCGGCAGTTTTGTTACGGACATTGTGGAGTGCATGCTAATGAGCCTGCGGCTCAGCATGCGACGCAGACCATGACAACCGGACAACACACGGAACATGGAATCGCACCCGTATGGCACACGGACCCGCTGACATGCTTTGCTACCCAGCCCAGCAACAAGTGGCGTTGTACCATTCGCCAAGCCACTCACCGCTAATCGTTCTGTGGTGCCAGGAAGCGGTCTCCGCCACTGCAGGATCAGCCAACCTCCACAGGCACGCCAGTTGACGCGCAGGAAACCTTTCGCCATCTGCTCCTAGAATGCCCAGGCACCTCCGCTGCGCGCCAACGGCGGGGCATTCAGGAAGATCCACGCAACAAAAAGTTCTCTCAATGGCAGTCGCTTCATAGCAGGAAGCTTTTTCCGCTGCTCAACCGCCTCCTCGGCACCAGGATGGCATCGTGCGGCTAGACGCGCCGGTAAGAGTGGGAAAAAGTAATAATGAGCATTCTCGCCACCATCGGGTCGTGGCGCACCTTGCGATCTCGCTGGTGACCCTCCTGCTCCACTGCTGCTTTGCGCAACAAGTCATCACAGTCATTTTCGTGGTTTGGTCGGCCTCGTGTTGCGCTCCGGGTTCTCCTCCTTCATCGTCTTGCGGTGTTTCCTTTGCCGTCCCTGGCACTGTGACTCTCCCGTGACGATTTTTTCCGAAGCCTCACTTCCCTGGGAGGTCCTCCCGCCACCAGCGTGCCCTCCGCCCAAAGACTCCGGTCCATTTGCACGCATCTGAGCGACAGAGGCGCTGCCAGTGCCGGACGGATTGCAATTGTTACTTCGCAGTGGGTCGCTGCAGGATTTATCCTGCCTCGTCGGAGCAGTGAGTGGTCCTGCGGCGGTGGGATTAGGGCACTCACCCGCCGTGTTTTCTCCACCCTCCTCGTCTTCCTGATTGCTGTCAACCTCAGAGTTCACGTTCCCCTTTCGTCCAGAGCCACCGGCCACGGTCCTCCTTCCGCAGCCATCACAGCCCGCGCGTGCTCAGCAGTCACCGCGCCATCACCAGCGGGCCGCACACACACACCGTCGCAGCAGCCGTCAAAAACACGCACGAGCCGTTGCACATCACTGCAGGAGCCAACAGGACGCAGAGCACACGGCCAGTCATCACAAACAGTGGAGTCGCCCAACGCTGTGGAGCCGCCTGCAAAAGCACAGAAAACAAAAGAAAAGACACGGCCGCTACACCACGCACAGCCACCGCACAGTCACAAATGGCAGCAGCCCAGCAGCGGCAGCGCACACACACCATGAGGCAGTTGAAAGCAGTGAAAGGGCAAAAACACACAACGCCCCGCAGCAAGCAAACAGAAAAACACACAAAACAATTAGAAACATAACACAGGTAAACGAACAGCAATGAAGTTAAAATGTAAACACACAAAACAAAGGGCTGCACAGTATGGCTCCAGCGCGCACGCACCCATCCTCAAATGCGACTCCACGCAATCAGTTGTGTGCGTGCCATGCACATGAGTGTGTCTGGGGTGCGTTCAACGCGACGGATGCGGGGAGCGGCAAGGAGCACACAGCAGGGCAGCGGAAGCAAGTGAAGCAAAACACAATCATTATTTTATCCTGTTTAGTAAATAGGACCACAGTGGACGCACACAAGTCCCCGCGGTTGGGTGCTGGCACGCACAGCCCGCACACAATTCTCAGCCCAGAGTGGTGTACGCCAGCGCGGATGCTGCGAGCAGCAGCGGGGCACACACCCACGCAGAGCTGCTGAGGCTGCCGTCGCTTTCGCGAAGAAGTGACGGTGCGCGAGTGGTTGTCGTGGTACGTGATGCCTCTGGCGCAGTGGTCGTCGTCGTGGTTGTCGTAGTTGGAGCATTTTCCTTCTGACTTTGTGCCGATACCGTACCGGTCACGGAACTTGATGCTGCAGCTGGGTTAGCGGACCCACCTGACGACCCTGACCCATCGGACCCACTTGGTACCTCTTTTGGAATAGTCTCTGGACCTTCGGTACCTGGAGTTTCTTGCACATCGGTTCCCGCACTTGATCCTTGTGATGTGGGGTTTCCACTTTGTGTCTGTCCATTACTGGGCTGACTTGAGGGCTCTGTCCCACCAGTCGCTCCACTTGGTGCCTGTTCCTGTACCTTTTTGGTCGGTTCTGCTGACCCTGACGTACTGGACTCCTTAATATGTTCCTGTCCATCACGGTTCGCCGCATCTCCTGCCCCTTGCGAACTGGACGTACCATGTGGCTGTTTCGCACTGTTCCCCGTAAACCCTGTCGTACCGGTCACTCCATCAGTACCTCTTCCGGTAACAATCCTCGTGTCTGATGCTTCTCCCGTACCGTCCTGATTTTCGGGTCCCGGTAACGCAACGTCCGGACCAGTTGAACATGGCCCCGTGGAAGTATTTGCTTGCCCTGAAACACCTGCTCCCTGTGACTGAGCAGTCGGTGAACCACTGACACTATCTTGTTCTTCACCAGTCGCTGTCACGCACACGGACGGGCAGCAGCACAGGGCAAGCACCAACAGGGCGCACAGCAGACGGCACGTCATCATCGTGAGTGTGGTCGTTCAGTGGTGTGGAGCTGATCTGCACAGTGAGGGACATGGAGAGCAACAGGGGAGACGAGAGGTGCGGCAGACACACACAGAGGGCAAACACACACATGAGGAGAGGGCAGCAGCCAGGCATGCACCGTACGCCGCACACCACGCGCGACACACACTCCAATCCACGGCAACAGGCACACACACACACAGCCCTGCCGCAACACCAACACACAGATGGAGGAGGGAGAAGCAAACAGGAGCGGCACACAAGGCTCCACCGCATGTACATACGGCGAGAGCGGTCCGTCGTGTCGGCACCCCTCACGGAGGGCACGCACACACGAGAATAGGTGCAGCGCACACAGCAACACAACAGCAAAGTAGCCATGAAAAAGAATAGATCCCCGCACACCACGTGGATTGTTGGTCCACGGGAAGCGCAGCCACCACCGCAGCAGCAGCAGCACACGCAAAGTCAAGCGCAAGGAATGGAATAAAGCAGCCATTTATTTGTGTTTCTTTCTGGAGGGTGGAAGATGTCTGCATATGTTGTTATTGTTTTTGCGGAGGGTAAACCTTCATGCCTGCATCGTGTGTTGGGGTTCCTGCAGTGTGCACAACTGTTTCCTTCTCTTGTGAATTTTTATTGTGTTGGTGCAGCCAATAATTCAATTTGCGTTGTTCCTGCTTTTCGCTGGTAAAAGTGCTGCAATAGATGTTTTTATTTCCTCCTTCGTTGCTGTGGCACCTGATTCCTCGCCGTTTATTGCGGTGGAAATGGGAATACGTGAGTGGACTCCCACGCACCAGAACGCACCTTCGCTCCTATTTATTGCTGCACAGAAGGGCATGCATGTTTGGTGGTGCCTCGACCATATATTTCGTGGGCGTACATTCCCCTGCAGGCTGAGGGCGGGGCGACGCTCCGTCGCGGTGCACTTCCCTCGCATGCCGCCCACTCTGATTCATCATGCATCACCCCTCACATACTCCGTGGTGCCACACCGTCGATATTATTGCAGCCGCTGTGATTCCGCGTATTTCACGCATTTCATTGTGCCACAATACATCCGCTCGTGTGGCCGCCGCATCCAAACAGCGCTGCCCAACACCGTGAGCGGCAGTCCACATCCTTGCGTGCCCCAGCGCAGTGGTGCTTGACTGTCAGCCAGGCGCCAGACAACACGAGAGTATTGTGCCGGCAGTACAACACACGGAGCTGCAGTGAATGACTCGGGCGGCGACGCATCTATTTGTCGCAAGGCAGTGAAAAGGAGTCGGGCAAAATAATACCGGCTGCATTCACGACACCACATCCACAGCCAAAGCATGCGACATGATGTGTGCTTCGCTGGTGCTGTGGAATGCCTGCAGACGACGTCACTAGTGGAGGCACACCACCCATGATCAGCGGACAGACAATAATCGGCATGGGAGGCCACAAAAGGCAGCAACGACGCCAGCAGCTATCTCTCTCTCTCTCTCTCTCTGTTGCCTCCGAGAAGTAAATATTCCACCAGCCACAGCCGGCTGTGCCATCGTGACACTCCATGCACGTCGTGGCTGCGTCAACACATCCTGCTCCCTGCTGCGCCTCAAAAGATGCCTCACTCCGTCCACTAAGTGCATCGATGCGGGCCGTGCCCGGGCTGTGCGTGAGGACCACAGCGATGTGAGGGTCACCGAGTCGCAGCATGTTTGTTGTGACGTTGTTGCATGGCACCGGCACACACACGCAGCGCCTGCATCCCTCCCTGTTGTGTTCGC